TACTTTTGTGTGTTTTTGTCAGGCAGAAATTTATTTATACCCCCTTAGGGTGTAAGAGGTTAGCCTGTAATCCCCAATACCTGCCTATGTCTCTGAAAGGGGGGTCGTTAGACGGAATTGTTTGGCTCTTACAGGGGAACAGAAGACCTCATGACATCTTAAAAACTTGGAAACAAAGTCCAGACCTGGATGACTGAGAATCTTCACCAACATGAAATTAGATATAAATTCTTTGTTATGATAGTAAAATGCCTTCAGACAAATTCTTTGATAGTCTTGTTAGCTGAGCCAAATGGAACATAACTCAGAATTAATCAACATAAACATCTGAATAGTTGTTTAATATATAAAGAGAAATTACCAAAGTGTTTGATCCCAGCTCCCAGATTACTGCTTAGTGAGTCTTCAGGGAAATATATTGTAAAGAAACATTGCACCACAGACTTTGTAAAGGGTCAAAAGGCCACTACATATGCAAGCATCCCCCACAACATGCTCCTTTTGAGCATTTATTGGTTTAACTGTTGATTTAACTGCTGGTGTGTGTTTTAATTACTCAGTCATGTGATACTGAATGATTCATCCCGCCTTATGCTGCCAAACCTTTAAAAAGGTGAAGCAAATGATGCATTCTGACTGTGACTCACTACGAGCGGCAGACTGACCATCTGGAGAGTTTGGACCTTTCCTGAACCGATGTAAAAAATGAAAGGAATATGATGCCTGGACCAGTACAGTGAAAATGCCCACTGACACTCAAACGTATTAGTTACCAAACAAACATGTATTGCACATTTTAAATGCATAGATAAAGGCTAAAATATGCAACAAAAAATATGCCACTTGTGTTTTAAATGAAGGTTACTTCCAGACAAATACGTTTTTAACATCTTAAATGTTAAATTTTCAGTTTTTGGCCCCAATTGCTGATGGAATTGGCTTGTTCCAACAGCACATTGCATGTCTGAGAGTCTGTGTACTCCAGTAAATGATTATTTGGCAACAAAATTAGTTGATTAGCAATATCAAATTAATTATTTAATCCCTAACAGAAATAGTGCTCAAAAGCACATGATTACTTTGACCCAGTGAGTTGTTATAATTCATGTAGATACAAATACTGTCATGATCTGGCCTGTTTGCTCCTCCCTAATTAGTCATTCCTCTCACCTGTCGTTTTCCCTCCCTGCCTCAGTTATAATTTATTCCTCTCACCTGTTTCCTCTGGTTTATATTCAGTTCAGCCTGAGCATTCAGGGCCAGATCATTGCTTGTCTTTTTGTTAGTCTGTCTGTTCAGTTTGATTTGATGGTTCATGTCCTGGATCCTAGCAGCCAGTGGAAAGAGGGTTTTTGTGTTTGTCTCGTCTCCTGATCGTCCACTCTTCCTTCCCTGCTGAGTCCTCTGGGGTTTTGGCTCATTATGGGGGGAGGTTCAGTTTTTATCAAAGTAAGCCTGGCTCCAGGGAGGAGACCAGTTTAAAGTCCTGCTTCAAGTTCCGGTTCCTACGTCCTGTCTTGGCTACCCTCTTCCACTGAGCCTGCCTGTCTGCACCTGATCCTGTCTGCTCCTGTGCGTGACCACCTGGTCATGCTTCTGGTCCCAGTCAGACTCTGAACCCTCCTGGGAGCCTGTGGATGCCTGGAAGTCTGGATCCTGCCACCTGTTTCTGCTCCTGCCTGATCTGGATCCTGCCTGTTCCCGTCTGTTTCTGTCTGTTCTGAATCCCTGACCAGGACCGGCTTCCAGCATGACCTCTGGAACTGCAGCTTTGGGACATTCTTGGTCTGGACTGTTAAACCAGGTAAGTGACTCACTGAGAACATCATCTTCAGTCAGATGATCATGGTCACTTACCTGTGTTTCTCCCCCTAGAGTGTCTGAGATTGGGCGGTGCCTCGCCCCCCCCGCCTGCAGTGTCGTTTTGAACTTGCCTACTGACTGTCTCTCCTTGAATACTGGGTCCATCTGTCTGCGTTTCATGACAAATACACCTGCAGCATTGGCTATACCTTCTTCAAATTGGCATATTAAACACCAGGAGCAAACTAAAAACTGATTATTTGAGTGAAATCAATAAAAAAGACAAAAGACAAGATAAAAAATATAAAGAATATTATTCTCATACATGTCTCCAACCCTTGTATCCGGTTTACGTCGATGATGCATTTCCAGAGTGCTGAACCTCGTCTTATTCCATAAACCAAACTGAAGAGTTACACTAACAGAGACACAATATCCACACGTGGTTAAAATCTCTTAGCTATTACAGAAAAAAAAAAAAAAAATCAATATTCGCTCACATTAGACAGCAATAATCAAAGCTCTTTATAGCCTCTAAGCTACTTTAATGAGCTGCTGTGATTCATTATTTTATCTCTTTCGATGCAATTAAGAGCTACTGTATAGCGCGGCTATCTGGAAACGATGGAGCTTGATTAATAACCGGTTTATTAATCATTTAATAGTCGTTATGAAGTGCTACCAAGTGCTGTGTTAGAACGTTGTTGTTAAACGACTTCAAATAAGGCGACAGTGAAGAGTTTTCCCCAAACGTGGTGCAGAGAAAAACACACTCCCTCCCACCTGCTGAAGGGAGCTGTCAGTGGTGCATCACACACCAAAGGAGGAGGATATCCCCTGGCTGTTAACATATTTTTCTTCCACCACAGATCATAACCATGACTTATAGGAGTGCTGTTTCTCATGCATGGAAAAACCAAACATTTATAGACAGAAAAACAGCATATTTTGCTTTACCCTGCTGACTGGGACTATTTATTCCAGTAACTAAGCTGTTATAACCACCTATAGAGGGATAATATCTAATTTTTCTGTTGCTAAATAAACCAATCCTTTATTTTTATGTCTGACTTTAATAACTACGTGTTTTTTCGCTCTCTCTAGGTGGCTGTAATGAGCTGGTATGATCCATTAATTCATTTAATTACTTGTGATTAAGCATAGTGCGGTTGTCTCAAAGAATGACACAAAGAAAAGGCAGTTTATTAATTAGTCTGCCAAATTAAATCTCGTATATACAGACACATGTCACAGTGTTGGCTTCGTTGGAAACCGAGTTATTCTGACGAGACCCGTTCCTTTCAGCATGTTTTTAAAGCCTTCATTCGGCCCACCGCCTGCCGTTCTCACCTTCTTTAACAGGGTTCACTCTAAACCCCTCAACGTGCTGCAACACAAGCAAGCCATGAAACACAGAGGACGCATTCAGCACAGAGGGGGATCAATCCCAAATCTCTGTCTTGATCTCAGATACAAAAAAGATGGAAAATGTTTCTGTGAGTTCCTAAAAGTGTTGGGAGGATCTGTGTATGGACTGAGTGGGGGTTTTACGCGTGTCTGGAAGGGATTTCGGAGAGCTCGGTGTTCTTTGTGCTCGAAGAGGAAAGCATTGACTCCTTGATACTCTGAGTTGGACACAATGCTACGCTTCCAGCAAGAACAGGAGCGACTAAGCCACTTTCCAAACCTCCCACACATCCAGCACACCGCCTTGCTGAAAGGATCATTGTTTCCTGCAGAACAATTCAAATCTGCGGCTCAGATTTCCCACGGATTTTCTAAATGTAGCCTTCTTGCTGTCATTTTGCTAAAGAGAATATGTTTCTTTTAATCGTTTCTTGTTGTAAAGCTCAATATAGTGATGATCCATCTAATTCCTCTAACAAAAAAAAGGATTTTCATCAATCAAGGAGCTGGTGTTAAAAGCAACCCTAGAAACACATTGAAGCTAAAAGCAAAACAGATTTTGTTGCCTTTGTCTCTGACATGCATTGAAAACATCAGTTGGTGGATTTGTGTCTGCAGTTTTATGTTTTAGATCAGTTTGTAAAAAGAAAGTTGTACCGATCGACAAACCAACAGCCAAACCCAGGAGACAAATCAACCCGGCTTTCAGGCAAATCATTTAACAGAGAAGCAAGGAAGAGATGAGAAACATTAGGAGAGTGTTAGTGTAGGTATTTGTTGTTGAAGAGAAGGAGGGAGGGGTGAAAAAAAAAAGGAAAGAGAAGCAAACCTCTGCAAACTGGCTCACACCAACCTGAACCCTTTGGAAAAATGTTGAAATCCTGAAACAAACCCAACACCGCGGCAGAGCCAAGGCAGTCCGATAAGGGCCTCATCCATTAACGCTTCACGTTTCATTCCCCTCCAGCAGGGCTGCAGAGTCCCGCTCCCAGTAATTCTGTATAAACTTTTAACTTTAGCAGATTGGTTTGGTTTTGAAGTTATAAACATGGGCCCTTATCGTGCAATTTGGCCCTGCTGTGGGGAAATAACCCATCAAAAGCTTCCAGCAGACCCCGCTGACAGTGGACCAGAACACTGTGAGATCTGCAGCCCCACAGCTGTCAGATCAGCTCTGATCCCAGCAAGTGACCGCTTCCAGTTGCATGCACGTGTGCAGGTGTGTGTATGTGGTTGCAGAGGGTTGTGGACTGGTTGTGCATTCATCTATCACCAGTAATGTATGCCAAACAAACTGCATGGACTTAATGGCCTCTTTGTGTGTGTTTCATTCTGACTCACCGATGACGAAAGTGGTGAGGGTTTGTCTGCTGGCGCCATGTTTGTTCTTCACTTCGCAGGTGAAGGTGGTGTTGACGGCGTCATCCACCTTCCTCACCATCAGCTTGTTGTCCTCCACCACCACCGTCTCTGGCAAGGAACCAGAAGCCCTAGAAAGAACAAGAAAAAGATGGAGGAAAAGGGATTAATAGCAGAGGCATCATCCTTCTCCTGAATTTTTAGCTTGATCTTCGTTACAATAACATCAAAGTTAAGGTTTTAGTTTAAAGAAGGCAGCTGTGGAGTGCAGATTGTGTTCCTTACGTGGTCCAGGTGATGGTGGTGGGTTCAGGGTTGGCTTTGGCCTGGCAGAACAGCACAGCGTCAGAGCGACCGACGTACCAGTTGTTGTCGTAACCCTCAATGGTGACGGTTGGAGGGTCTGCAGGTGAAAGTGATCATTATTACTATTAAAAATGTTTTCTTATCTTTTAAAATACAACAATACAGTGGTTTGCAAATAAAACATCTGAAAAAAGCAATTTAATTCAGCCCCCGATACC